AGAAAATCCAAACTGATTTTATAAGGCATCACCCTGTTACCAAAACCAGACAAAGACATTACAAGGAAAAAGAAAAAAACAGACCCAGATCCTACATAAACAAAGACAAAAACAACCCTTAACCAAATATTGGCAAATTGAATCCACTAATATCTAAACAGGGTAACAAAGCCCACTTGGTCATGATACATGTCAGGAATGTAAAGTTGTTTTAATATTTGAAAATCAAACATAACAGACCACCTTAAAACAATAAAGGACAAAAATCATGTTAACTCTCTCATTAGTACAAAAGTACTTAACACATTCAATCTCTATTTATAATAAAAATTTTCAGCAAACTGGAAATTGAAGGTAACTTCCCCTAGACAAAGGGAATCTGTCAAAAAAACTATAGCTAACATCACACTTAGTGGTGAAAGACACATTCCCTCTAAGATCAGGAAAAGATGAGAACATCTGCTCTCCCACTTCTCCCCCACCTTATACTGAAAGGCACAGCCAGTACAACAGTGAGACAACATCAGAAATAGAGAAGATATATCAGAAAGGAAGAAGTAAAACTATTTGTATTCACAGATGACATTATGTATGCAGATCCTAAAGAATTTACAAAAAAAAAACAACTAGTAGAACTCATAAATTAATCTAGCAGTGCAGTAGGATTGCAGCTCAACATAAGAAAAGCAACTGTATTTCAGTGTGCATGCAACAAATAGCATTGGAATGTATGTACAATAGCATTGGAAAAACAAATTTAAGGATATGTGCAAAACTTAACATGAAAAGTATAGAAATTGTTGAAATTAAGGAAAGCCTAAAAATGTAGAAATGTAATATGCTCATGACAGTGATCCAGTTTCATTCTCTTACATGTAGCTGTCCAGTTTTGCCAGCACCATCTGTTGAAGAGGCTGTCATTTCCCCCATTGTATGTCCATGGCTCCTTTATCATATATTAATGTTTGGGTTAATGTCTGGAGTCTCTATTCTGTTCCACTGGTCTGTGGCTCTGTTCTTGTGCCAGTACCAAATTGTCTTGATTAATGTGCTTTTGTAGTAGAGCTCAAAGTTGGGAGGCGAGATCCGCCCCCACTTCATCATCCTTCTCAGGATTGCATTGGTTATTCGGGGTCTTTGAC